TGTCCACACTAGGAAATAACTAAATTCGAAAAGATAACTCCCAAAAAAACTATTTCAAAATAAGCTTAATCCCCGAGGAAAGCAGGAATACATATTTCAAAATAACCACCCGTTATTTTGAAATAATGGGCTTGGTAGTGTGGATGCTCCGCTTATTACTTTAAAATAAGAGGGGTTATTTCGAAATAACTCCCTAGTGTATACCAGAGCTAACAAGTAATCTCTTGTAAAACTATGAAGCTTAATAGCTGAATTTACAAGTCCGAGAAAAAATAAGGTCTTTTACAGAAAAACCAAATTCATTATATCCAGTTTAGAGTCACAAAATGTATGTTAAAATCTTGCTTCAGAAATACTTCTCAGTCAGAGGCTGTCATGGTCATGCGGGATGGCCAGTAGCCTGGGGACTAAGGGTTAACTATGTCCGTATATCTAGCCAGGTAGCATTCAGCCAATAGAAATGCAGATAGGAATTTCAAACAGGGACAAAGGAATGTTTGGTTTTTCCCTACTTTGTCCCTGGGCAGTTGACTCTCCAGATACTGAGGGGGACAGAGAACATGTCCCTCTCCAAGAAAAGACTCTTCACCATCTGTAAGTAGTACAAAGTCTAGATAAATCCGTTAGGTGTTATTGCTTTATGGTTTGGGAATGGGAATCTGATGTCTGTGCATTTAGAAATGGGTTTTCCTCCCTTTTTTAACTAAGTTTTGGCCCATGGGAGTCCCCCATGAGTATATTAATTGGTGACTTTTCCATCTAGTCATTATGCTTGAAACAGGAGTATAGTTTTCATAACAACAGGTTTTTTGTTTTTTTTTTATTAACCTGGTATTGGTTCAGTTCTCCATCCTGGAAAATCTGTCTGTGGATATCTGCATGCCTCTGACTAGAGGGCAGCTACCACAGACTGCAGTTTATATTTTCTCTCTCTTTTTCAAGTTCTTTGGAGAAAACAGCTTGCGGTGGCCTGGGGTTGGTTTCAAGTGTCCACCCCTGTTTGTGGGTTCAAAAGCACTTGATGGTGGCAGTGGATTTTTTTGACCCCAAAAATCTAGGTTTTTAGGATTGTGGGGGGAAGTTTTATACCAAAGACTGGAGAGAGAAGGTTTTGGGGTACTTTTGTGGGCCCCCCTTCTGCATTTATCATGTCAGAGTGGGGAATCAGCCTTGACAGAAGCCATGTTAGTGAGAGGTGTTTTTTTTTTTTTTTTTTTTTGATTTCTGTGCAGCCCCCAACTGATTTTTCTGTGGGTCAGTGGTCTCTGACTCAAAAAATGCTCCTCACTCGATTCAACACTTCAGTACTACTGATAACGTCTATTCTTGTTTATAATAAAAAGACTCTAGAATTTTACAGGAATACTATTACAACTTAATTCGCATATTAGTGTCATTGACTAAACAGCATTATTATACTGAATTTTCCTTGATACTCCTTTATAAACATGCCTGATACTACTAAATTACAAAAGCTGTCACAGAAATATCCAGATGTTTCTCTATTTTCAAAATATATATTAATACAATTTTAGGTGTGTGTATTATAGAGAAATTCTAATAGAACTAACAATTTTGGCATCACAATAATTAGATTTTGAAATATGATTAAACTACACTAGGCACAAGGGATGGAATGTAATGTACAAGACCTCTTTGAAACCCGAAAGTCAAGTCTCAAAGAATTTTTGAACAGGTGAAATTTATCAATGTTTTGGAACATGCCTGTTGCCACATCTATATAGTCCTTTCTTCATTACTATGCATATTTTCTTAAAACCATATATGCAGTATGAAGTAAAGAATGGACAGTAGGGAAGATGCTGTATAGAAGAAGTATAACTGTTGTCATGGGATAAAAGGGATAGTCTTCTTATGGACTGATAACTGGCTAAACGACAGGAAACAAAGGGTAGGAATAAATAGTAAATTTTCAGAATGGAGAGGGGTAACTAGTGGTGTTCCCCAAGGGTCATTCCTAGGACTAATCCTATTCAACTTATTCATAAATGATCTAGAGAAAGGGGTAAACAGTGAGGTGGCAAAGTTTGCAGACAATACTAAACTGCACAAGACAGTTAAGACCAAAGCAGACTGAAGAACTTCAAAAAGATCTCACAAAATAAAGTGACTGGGCAACAACATGACAAATGAAATTTAATGTGGATAAATATAAAGTAGTGCACATTGGAAAAAGTAACCCCAACTATACATACAATACGATGGGGGCTAATTTAGCTACAACAAATCAGGAAAGAGATCTTGGAGTCATTGTGGATAGTTCTCTGAAGATGTCAACGCAGTGTGTAGCAGCAGTCAAAAAAGCAAATAGGATATTAGGAATAATTAAAAAAGGGATAGAGAATAAGACAGAGAATATCTTATTGCCCTTATATAAATCCATGGTTCGCCACATCTTGAATACTGTGTACAGATGTGGTCTCCTCATCTCAAAAAAGATATACTGGCATTAGAAAAGGTTCAGAGAAGGGCAACTAAAATGATTAGGGGTTTGGAACGGATGCCATATGAAGAAAGATTAAAAAGACTAGGACTTTTCATCTTGGAAAAGAGGAGACTAAGGCAGGGATATGATAGATGTATATGAAATCATGAGTGGTGTGGAGAAAGCAAATAAGGAAAAGCTACTTACTTGTTCCTGTAATATAAGAACTAGGGGCCACCAAATGAAATTAATGTGCAGGTGAATGTAAAACGCTCTGACTCAATCTAGGAAAATTCCGTATAAAATACATGCCATTTAAGGTACTATTTTGGTTAGGGATATCAACATATAGTCAACTATCCAGTTAACTGATAAGTTAACTGATAAGTTTAAAACAAATAAAAGGAAGTTCTTCACACATCGTACAGTCAACCTGTGGAACTCTTTGCCTGAGGAGGTTGTGAAGGCTAGGACTATAATAGAGTTTAAAAGAGAACTAATTATATTCATGGAGGTTAAATCCATCAATGGCTATTAATCAGGATGGGTAAGGAATGGTGTCCTGAGCCTCTGTTTGTCAGAGGCTGGAGATGGATGGCAGGAGAGAGATCGCTTGATCATTATTTGTTTGGTTCAGTCCCTCTAGGGCACCTGGCATTGACCACTGTCGGCAGACAGGGTACTGGGCTGGATGGACCTTTGGTCTGACCCAGTATGGCCATTCTTATGTTCAAAGCAGAGGCGCAATAGGATAGCAAGCACTTCACCCACCTACCCACCTCTTATTGACTAACCCAGTAGTCGATGGAAATTTCATTGAATACTCAATTAGTTGATTGAAATTTAACATCCCTAGCATGTAGTTGACAAGATTAACGGATAAGCCTAGACTTATTGGTTAACTGTATAGTTGACTATATGTTGATATCCCTAACCAAAATAGTACCTTAAATGGCATGTATTTTATACGGCATTTTCCTAGATTGAGTCAGAGTGTTTTACATTCAGCTTCCATCTTTACTAAGATTATTGCAAGTTTACATATATACAAATAGATTAGATGAGGACCAAAGACGGGATAGGTACCTTACTCGTTTCAAAAGAAAAAAAACAGTAACAGAAAAGGTAGAAATGGTGGAAGTGCTTCATGACTTCGTTTCAGTTTTCCACCAAGACTTTGCAGATGTCAATACTAATTTTGTATCCGCACAGGGCTCTACATATAGTAACTCCATCTAGGTTGTATTTCCATAGTTCACTGACATTCATTTTGTAGTGCTGTTGTGGAATCTCTCTCATTGGAGATTTTTAAGAGCAGGTTAGACAAACATCTACCATACAAGTGACAGACCTTGATGATCTCTTGAGGTTCCTTCCTATTCTATATGCCTTCATTATTGTTTCCAGAAATCAATTCTGGGTATGTACTGCTTTGCTACTACTGTCTATACATTTAAAAAAGGGAAGTCTGCCATGGCAAGAAAGTGATGTTTGTACTGGAAAGAATTTGAGGAAACGTAAACTTTGTACAAACAAGCTGGGGAAAAACACATTTACTTAAACAACATCATAAGACCATATTACAAGTAGACTACAGTGCTCCATTTGACTCAGTGCCCATAAGTGGAGAATCTTAATCATTTCCAGATTTGCACAAAAGCTTCACTTAAATTTACACAAGACAAAAAACACAGCAAAGGTTTCATTTTCAACCCCTTGATATTTCAGATCAGATGAAGTTCATGGCCATGAACCAGTTGCTAGAAACAACAAGTTCTCAGCATATAACCCTGCACACACACAGCTTCTGCATTTACAACTGATGGACTCAGGCAGGATAGAACAGGGCCTGTAATGATCCCCAATAACTGAAACTTTTGGAGACCTCAAGAGCCTAAGAATGTCTATTATTATCTGACTAAACAACAGTTTAAAATCAAGAGGTATTTAGTGTTTCATTGGACAATAAAATACTCTAGGACCAAAAATCACTAAGTTTAGAGTATGATTTTCCATGAGCCTGAGTGGAGCACAGGTTTACTGACAAGAAGGCCTCTTTATGCAGCTCAGGGGAAGGGTGTTGTTTTTTGCACTTTAGGGACTAAGGAAAAGGTCTTTTTTAAGCATTGGGTAAACTGAGGGTCAGCCACCATGGTTTTTAAAAATACTCAGTAGAAAAAATGACTATTTTGACAGCACACATCCTACACCAAATTTAAGTTTCAGCCTTATCTCCTATTTGGCGGGGACGGAGGCGAGGGCTAGCTATCTGGGGGAGTCTTTTCCCTCCGCGTCCTTTCCCCTCGCAATCCACCGAGGAGTCGCAGCCAGGCCCGCCCGGGGACTCTCTCTTCTCCTCTCCTCTTCCCCAATCCAATGAGCGAGGGGCTGAAGCCAGGCCTCCTGAAGGGCTCCATGGTCGGTGGGGTGACCCGTTCCCAGCCCTGACACCGCAGCAGCCCCATTCACCCGGGCCAAGTCCCACCCCGCACCCGGCCGGGCCCTTCCACGCTGCGCCTCCGGGACGGCGCCTCCCTGCCCTCTCCACACTCACCGGTGGCCCCGGAGCTGCCGGGCCTGGCAGAGAGGGGGCGGGGCGGATCCCGTGACAACAGCGCCCGCCACCCCTCGGAGCAGTTAGCGAGTCACGTGAGCTCCCAGTCAGCTGATCCCTGCGACAGCTTCACCGGGGGAACCGGGAAAGGAAGGGGCGGGGTACGCACCGGAAAAGGTTGTTGATTGGTTGGCGGGAGGGACGGGGCGAGGAGCAGCGCGGATTGTGAGAGCGGGGAGATGGAAGGGGGCGGGACGGATGGCTGAGGGGGCGGAGCTGATAGCCGCGAGGGGCGGGACTAGGCCGTGGAGTGCGATCGCTCCCGGCTACTGTGCGCGGCTGCAGTGAGGGGAGTCGCTGCTCGGCAGGTGTCGCTGTGGCGCAGCCCCCAGCCTGGCGGGGCCCGGAGCCAGCGCCTTGGCCCGGTCCCGGCAGAGCGCTCGCGCCAAGCACACGCACGCCCCGGCCCCACACTCGCCTTTGTAGCCGAGGGGGCAGTCTCCTCCCTCCCTCCCTCAGCACTAAATAGCGAACTCCTTGGCAACGTCCATGAGGCACCAGGCTCAAGAGAGGGGCCTGAGAAAGGTAAGGAGAGGCCGGGTGAACGGAGCCGGCATGTCCCATTGGTAGTTTAGGCTTGTTGGCAGCTCTGATGTTGCCGGCACGTAAGAAACTAAACTGAATACCCCAAAGACAAAAAAGAGGTCGAGGAAAGGACCCACCTTTTCTCTGTGATATCCAGAGACCAGGACCGCTCCCACCGCACTGAACAAATAAAATAAAGTCAGTTGCTGACAGGTCCTGATGCCCAGATGTTTGGCTTGAAGTTACTAGTCAGTTACATGGGTGGAAAAATTATCCGCCTTGCTAAACAAACTTAAATTCCCAGCTGAGGAGCTTTGAGTGTGTCAGAAATGCAGGACATTCGGAGCTTGCCTTCTTATGTGCTGCTCACTTGTTTTTGTGAGCGGGTAATGATTTTTCTATCTATATCTCATCTATATCTATATAAAAAATTTCCTGCAGGAGGAGAGAGTGAGGTAATCATGTCAGCATCAACAGGCTGGAGGCAAGGGTAGGTAGAGCCCCATGGGTAGCATGTTCCACAGCAGTAGGATGTGGCTTTCCCTGCTGGCTGTTTCCTTGCTCCTGCCTCTCCACTCAGCCCCCTCATTCACCAGATCCAGCTCAGCCTGCCTGCTCCCACCCCCCCAGCAGGGAGCCTGCACTGGCAATCCAGTCTCATGCTCTCCCCCCCGGAGGTTGAAGCACCAACACCAGCTTCCCATGGGGGCAGGGACAAAGCCCTGCAGCTCTGTGCTGGATCCAGCTTGCAGGGAAGTGTGCATGT